CGACATCAACATTTACCAACTGTAGTTTTGGTGTAGTTAGAAAAACGTTTATAACTCGATCAAAATCAAACACCTTTAGATAGGGTTTTCTTTATCTTAAAGTAAAATAATTCTTCTGTTATATCCGTACAGAGAAAGCTCAATATTTTCCTTTGTTTTCCTGTGTCACGACGAAAAAGACAAAATTTGCCCTTTTTTTGTTACATTTTAGTACAATCATCTTTTGTGCCAGAAAAACACGTTTAAACCGAACCTATGATAGACGAAAAGAAAGACGACCCTTCAGAGCACCAGAACTTATGTTCATGTTTCCATCTTTATGCATGACACCATGCTCAAATATTTTTTCAAAATATTTTTTTTCATTGTTTCTTGAATTGCAAAGTAATCGAGATTGAAGCTTCGCAGTATTTCTTCTATATTCTTTCATCTTTACGATACGTAGAAGAATGTTTACTATATTTTTTGTAGAGAATTTTACGGCACATCTTTTAAGAAAACAACAAAGCTTAGGGGATAAAATTCAACTAAGATATAAGCAAAATACTAAGTGACCGATTTATTCTGAAGCACCCGTTACATTTGAATGTTTTACAGTTCGGAAACACGTATTGTCAAAAATATACGGGTTTCCAGAAAAATTTAACTAAGGTAAAACTCGCTTTTCGAGTTAACTACAAAATTCCAAGCTCTAATTTTAACCTCATTAGATAGAGCACATAAAATTACACATGTATAACTATTTTTAGACGTTTTGTCCAGTCCTCTTTGAGTTTTTCGCTGTCGATTAAACAAAAAGATACTTTAGAGTGGTGTACTTGAAAGGAAAAGCATTTAAGAGCCATTTTTCTAGCGCAGGAAGCAATCAGACATTCAGAATATGATCAAATACCTTTCTTGAATACTTCAAACATCAATGGAGATTTAAAGATACACTTTTATCTTAGAGTCATTTCTGAGAATATAACTTTCTTCGAAACTCGTTATAAAGTAATTGACAGAAGCCAGTAAAAGAATAGTTCGTTCTTATTAGGTATATTGACTGCATATCTGCGTGCTGTTCAGATGAAAAGAAAAACTTCAAATAAGAAATCGTTCTCATTTGGCAAATGAGGAAGTATCCTCATAAAATGGAAAAGTATTGATTTAAATGTGATATCCTATGAAGAGTGTATTTTGAGACTAATTTCACCAGGTTTTACCCAGCTTTCTCTTCGAGAACATGATGCTATCAACGTAGTGGTTCAATTCAGGCTTTGTTACAGTTTCCGGTTTTTTTTAACGTAATTTTACTTTTACACTTTTAATGGCCTGAAGACTCTACACCGCGTTAGAAAAGAAGTCTGTTGCGTATATAATAATAAAGTCGAGTGAAATAAGTAGTTCGTTTTGCTTTTCCGTGTTTTTTTTCAAAAAATTTCTCGCTAAGGTATTTTGACTCTGCACAATCTTCTTTGCATATTCACCCTTAATATTTTTCGATCAATAAATTTCATTTTCTGCCTTTATCAAAGATCGTATAAAAGAAGCAGAAAGAATGAATCATCTATTCTCCTTCAGCATTCAATCAATCAACTTCGAGGATAAGCTAGAGAAGAGCTATCCTCTATAGGTATGCACCGGTTTCCGTTTTTAATCGGTTAACCGAAACCGATCATAACCAAAAATGTTGCACAAGTTCTTGAAAATATGTTTGACACAATATGAAGGAAGTATCTGTTGTGCAATTAACAACTATTCATCCCGAAAGAAAGATGAACGATGTATAAAATCAGAAATAAGGCAAATAAATGGTATTTCTGGCTTTTTGCCATGAAGGAAGAGCTTCTCGAAATTGAGTTTAGTAGCAAAAATATGGTAAATTTAATTTTCTAGTTTATCTGCTGGGCACAACTTTATACAACTCGATCTTCACGATTGAAACTGATATTTACTGCTTTTCACCGCAGAGATGGATTTGTATAAAGTTGCGTCCAGTAGATAAAATAAAACTCAATAAAAAAAAAATAGACTCAACTTCGAGAAGCTCGTCCTTCATGGCGAAAAGCCAGAAATACCATTTATTTGGCTTATTTCCGATTTTATACATCGTGCACCTTTCTTCTGCGATGAATAATTGTTGATTGAACAACAGATGCGTCCATTATATTGTGTCAAACATATTTTCAAGAACTTATTTTCGGTTATGACCGGTTTCTGTTAACCGTAACCGGTGCATGCTTCATCCTCTAGCGATCTCTTCTCACTTATCTTAACTACATTCTGGAGTCTTATAAAACCGTATCTGTAATTTGGCTCACAAATATGGATAAAAGAAATCAAAATAATGTGTTACAAAAATGTAACTTTTTCTATATCTATACTTTTGATCCACATGAATTAGCAATTTGCTATTTTAGAGTTAAAGTTTGATCCTGGTGCTTGTGGAGTAGGTTTATTCATTTCGGATGAAAATACGCATCTTCGTACAAACATCAATACTACTGGTTGGCGTACATGTCGCACGTTGAATTCTGGTTGGACAGAAGGTATTCACTACTGGAGTATGAGAATTGTTGATCGAGGACCAAATGGTCATATTATGACAGGTGTTGTTAATGATCAGTTTGATATGGGTCAGGCCACCTACCCTGGAGAGAATACAAATGGGTATGGTTTATATCTTCATAATATGAATAAATACAATGGAGGCGGGGCTGCATTTTCAAGTGACTCCGCCTCTAATGGTGATGTCATTGGAACTCTGCTCGATCTGGAGGCACGTACAGTAACATATTTTAAAAACGGACGAATTTTAGGTACAGCATTTGGTATGATACCACAAGGTAAACAAAAATATTATCCAGCTGTTGGGATGTACGAACTTGGAAACTGGGTTAGTGTGATTAGAACAATAAATGGCAAGGATAGTAACAATGTTCAGTAATGTGATATCTTTTCACAGTTTCTGTGAATCCAGTTTCCTGAGCTCAAAAGAATGAGGAAAGAGACAAAAAAAATGCAAGATTTACTTTCTTCACTTGTCCACCATTTTGTGCTGCGTGAAAAACATTTCATCATCATTTTTGCCGAATTTGCTCTTATTAGGTGAAGGAAACTGTTTATTACTTTATGGTCGTTCTGCTTTTTCGATCTGGTCTTTTTGCACATTACAACTATTGCATTACCTTTAATAGTTAAATTGAATTATCTGATTTCAAATCTTCTCCTTCACCAATATTCTGAATCGTTTTTTCTCTGAATAATTATCACTTTTTGCGATGCCTTACAAATATGACCACAAATAGTTTTGTCTGTAAAAGTATGATAACTTTTTTCTATTCTCAACTAATTGTTCTTAATACTTCAATGTCAAAGAAATGCTCGGTTCTGTTTGTTATCTGTGACAAAGAGGTTGAGATTCTGTGTTACATTTTGCTGCATTATTCATACATTAATGAATATCATCATAACCCAAAGAAATAATTTCCTTAACAAGAATCTTAATAAGATCTTGACGAGATTTCAAGTAAGTTTCTTAGTGGAATGAAGCTGCCCAAACGTGATAAATGTAGGATGATTATTTAATCCAATTTAAAAACTATTTGAAAAGATTGCTGTTAATAGCTGTGTTTTTGGTTATTGAATTGTCAGTTTTTTACTTTTTCTTCTCGTACTTTTTTCTACTTCAGTTTAAGTAGTGTCGCAAATGACAACAATGAAATCCAACTAATGATATAAAATAAATTCTTGTTCTGTGTTTTCTTTTTTATACAATAGAAAACAAACCGCAAAAAGTTCACTTGTTTGTAATTGTTTTCTCTTTCTATAGCATTAGAAGGTGAAAAAAACGGCCAGCTGAGATAGAAAAACCATACATACAAACCATCATACAAACTAAAGCATTCTTTTGTTTATATGACAGAGAGCGAGTATACTGGTCAACATCCAATTTGCAATTATAGAACGCAGAATAATCTAATAAAAGAAGTTAATGTAAGGGTTAGAAAATCTTCGATTAAAGAAAAACGATAGTTTTTAATTCAGTTGAATTTGTTCTGCATTTTTTCAAAATAAGGTATGAATCGGTTCCATTGTCTGTTGAACGACCATAAGCAATGAAAATCAGTTCTTTTTGTTCATCTGCCATAGAAGTGTTAACAACNTGGTCAACATCCAATTTGCAATTATAGAACGCAGAATAATCTAATAAAAGAAGTTAATGTAAGGGTTAGAAAATCTTCGATTAAAGAAAAACGATAGTTTTTAATTCAGTTGAATTTGTTCTGCATTTTTTCAAAATAAGGTATGAATCGGTTCCATTGTCTGTTGAACGACCATAAGCAATGAAAATCAGTTCTTTTTGTTCATCTGCCATAGAAGTGTTAACAACTACAATCGACTTAAGCTTGCTCTATTGAAGACTGAAGTATTTCTTATTTTGGTCTCAAAGTCTCGTGCACTGCTTCATTTTATAGTAAAAAAGATTCAAGACATCAGCTTTCAGGCATTTTCTCACTTCTTTTTATTTTAAGATCTTGTACAATCATTGTGTTTAACTGAATCTATACAGAAGGAGAGATATCTTAGATTTTATGCATTATTTGAGAGAGATAACCCTGTAATCTGACCCAAGAAGTATAGTTCAATTTTTAATTTACGACTATTTGGTATCAATGGGAATCGTCTTAATGGGTTTATATCTTATCTTACAGGGCGCACCCAGTTCGTCAAAATTGGCGAGAGCTTTTCTTCTCAGTCGTCGGTTCTCACAAAGGGCCATTCTTGGGCTTTTACTTTTTATTTTATTTCTAAATGACTATCCTGCATCAGTTTTTTCATCAGTGATTAATAGATTTTTTGTTGATGACCTTTTGTAGTTTTATCGTTCAAAAAGTCGAAAAACATTTCTGTTATTCAAAGTTTAGTTCAAGCTGAAATAGAAATAGCTAAATAATCTATGAGTTATTTACTTTTCTTCGTAGTTGTTTATTTCATTTTTTGCTAAACGTTTCGGTACTAATGAGCACCTTCTTCGGCAGCGGTTTAAATGGAAGGATAATGTAAAAATCTAAATTAAACCGAATATATGAAACACAACATAAAACATAAAAATTGGGGCGAAAACCGAACGTCATCCAACTTTTATGTTATTATATAGTTCTTCTTTATTTGTCTCCTTAAACTATATGTTTTATTTATTATTCTCATGACTGTGTTGTTGCTGATACTTTTTTAGTATTACATCCTTTCCTCCCAGTACCATGACATCTATTGCTTTTTATATGTAACTTCTGAATTTTCGTTTATCCACTTGTGAATTGTTGGATTTCATTGACCGCAAACCCAAGCAAAAACGACCCAATTTTTTGGGTTATTTATCTAGATTCAGTTCCACGTGCATCTAGATGTACGTGGAGTTGAATCTAGATAAATAACCCAAAAAATTGGGTCGTTTTTGCTTGGGAATGTACACCCTTTTATTATATGACTTATTTACCAATGAGTATATCGATTCTAACCTCCTTCTAACGAAATATATTTTTATGCCTATCTGTTTCACTTGAAAAATGTTCAAACATTTATTTTGCACTTGATCCAAAAATTAAGCCTGGTTTCAAGTTAACTCTATTAAACTCGAAGCTATCGCTGGATACCGATCCTAAACTTTTGGGTATGCGTCTTTCTCACGATTTGAAATGAGCAACACATATTCGTGAAGTAGCAACATTTTGTTGTAAAATCCTTGCCGTTATTAATCGAGTTTTACGTACCTAAGTAAACGGAGAATATTTATCGAGTCGACAAGTACCTCAGTCAATTCAGTTAGTTTTATACCGAACGTGCGTTTTACCCAAAATCGATTACTGTGGCGCTCTTTACGATTCTAAATTCACCACACATCTTGAGCCATTGAAAGCGGTTCAACGTTTACCAAATCCCATTATTACGAGAAACTTCAATAACGAAACTGATAGTCTATCTTTAGTCAATAAACTAGGTTTGCCCCCTCAAAGTCAGACGTCGGTACTTTCGATTCATATCGTTTTATAAAATTTACAATAACTTGACTCTTCTCGAATCTCAAGATTATCATACTAGGTTGACCTCTAAGTCTTTCTGATCATCGCACTCTTATACAGTCGATATACCCTTCACTTCTTTTGATGACTGTTCAATCATCCTTCTTTTGGAGAACTGCAAAAGACTGGAATGCTAAAGACCTATAAGAAGTTGTTTCCATCAATTCTCTCAAAAACTCCACAAAGACTTTAAAAGAGCATCTTCATCTTTAATTCCTTCTCTATTTTAAAATCATTGTTTTTCTTCTTTTGTAAGCTAGACGAGTGTAAACTGACAGAGGAACAATACTGTGAGAGCGTACAGCGTAATTTATATGTAATGCCCTCATCTTGCCTCATACATTAATGTTATTTTACACCTAGTGTTTCAGGCCGAAACTCGCAGTTTTCACTCAATGACTCCCATCGAAAATAGTATCAATCGATAGAGAATTCAAGTCTGTATCTAACACAATCCATTAGAAATTCGACACAAGTCTGAGAGCGAATGTCGGCAAGAAATACTCGAGTTCGCTGCTAAGTTTCCTTACATAAAGCTTTTACCACTCTCGAAAGAGTGATAAAAGTGGTCATTTTTTGATGATATCTTTCTCCAAAGTGTGGTATAGCTATGCCGAAAAAAATCTTATCAGTTTGTGGAGCAAAGAATTCTGCACTAAATCATATACGATATGACAGTTTATTTAACCCGGGAGTCTATTGAACGGGAAAGAATGCGTCTTGGTGCCAAGCCCGTTTCTAATGCCAACTCTGAGGATTTGACTCGTTTTCACATTTCAGTCAATTTTCTAACAAATATTATTATCAACCTCATCATTTTCAAACAAAACAACATCGAAAGACTTATAATACTAGTGTTCAAAATATGAAACTGTCTCGCTGACACCTTTATACTTCGTTTCTTGTCTCAAGCATTCATTCCCCTTATTTAAAGATCAGCCGTACTATTATCGGCGCCAAATTATTATGCAACTGGTTATTTTGGCAACAGCGCTTGCACAGGATGAGATAGAGATCTTCGCTTATCGCTAGTGTGTAGCAAAGACCTACCAGCTTCTTTTCTGTACCGAAACGTTTCTGGAAACCGGTTTTCTACGTGGTATACCAGTTAAGTCTTTGGAAGAGCAAGTCATGGTTTAAAAACCTACCACAGCGATCCCTATGTTTCTCATATTGATATGATAGCACAAAGTATCCTCTTCAATATAGGAGTCAGGCGAGATCTTGATCTTCAGTGATTTGGGTATGATATCGAGTTTCTTTTGAGTCCTATGACTGGCACCTTCCGACTATTGGTAAACTCGAAAACAGGTGGATTATAGGTAATCAATCATGCAGAGCCTTGTAGCAATATTTGCTTTTAAAGAAGTAAAAACCAAGTCACACAAATTAGAGTTAATTAGGCTGTTTTCATCTCATATTAGAAAGTTCACTATTCACTCAAAGCGCATCAGTACGGGTTCAGAACTTCCGGATATATAGTGCTTAAAAGAGCATAAAATATTTAGAGTATTTTATGCTCTTTTAAGCGTTTTATTTAAAGAAATCGAAATGAACAAGTAAATGAACTGATCGATGTTCACTCATCGTCAAAACATCCTTTACAAACGATTTCAGTTAAGCAGTTGAATGATAATTTTTACACGATGAGAACGGAGCACAATATCATCGGCTACTGAACATATTCTGCGTCTCTTCATTAAGTATTTCTTTTCAATCTACCGGAATTGGGTTATCTCTTTACAGAGACTGAATCTGTCAAATTATTTCAAACTTGATGCTTAAGAATCTCAGCACAATATAAATTCTACTGTAGTCTTTTTTTGTGTATCAGAGATTCGCGTTGAACGTGTTGTCTGGCGCA